CGCAAGAGAATGGACTTGTATCCTGATACATGGTGAAAGCCTCAAACATCAAATAAACCAAATTATTCTTTCATTCACATCAGCATCTACATATCATTTTTCTCAGCACTATTTTATAAGTTTAGCTGGTTTTAAATAATATCGCTGGTAAATAGCTTCATGGGAAGATGATCCGTATCGTTTATTTTTTACTGGGTTTACATTGAGGGTCTTATTTGTTGCAAGTATGTTTAGTGAGTAGTAAAGAAACCCAACTCTTCATGAACAACAATATCAAGCTGTGTTAGCTTTCCTAAGCTACAACAATGGATCTTTTCTTGATTAGGACTAATTTTTATTGCATGGTGTTATTTCACTAGTAATAGGAGGCCTTTTTCTTTCATCTCTATGCTTGATCCAGGGGCATATTTTATGTTATGTGCATTGGAGCCTAATGCCCCTGCCCCGGGCTTTTTTTTTTTTTTTGGCTGTGAGTGTTTAAATAGTTACTCATATTGCCCCCATAATGCAACTCAAGAGGCTTGGTATCCAAGGCCATATGTGAATAAGTAGATTGGCTAAGAGAACAGTGCATGACTAGCCACAAAAATAAAATAAAAACTGACTAGATGCCCAAATGCAAAGGGCTTAAAAGGCAAGAAATACTTCCTCTTATCAACTGTTTTCCCACAACATCTTACCCCTCCCAGACCTGCTAAAGGCACCACCCCAGTTCTGCTGTTGCTAGAGTGATAAATTGCGTTGTTGAAATTCTTAACAAAGTTGACTTGTTGAGTTCCCCCCCCCCCCCTGTTCTATTTATTACCATAGGTTTTGGATATGTAGAATATCTTTTTTGGGTGGTATACTTAAGGTTAAGGTTTTTCTTTCCCTTTTGTATTTCCCCTATCAAGTCAAATTGATAATCTTTCCGTAGGGTTTCCAAAGTTGTTTTTAATATAAATGGCAAGATGGTCCAGTTAGTGCATGTATAATTGTATTTTCGTCATTTGTAGTGCCTTGGTTGGGCCCCTGTTTTTCATTCTCTACTTCAATTTTCTGATCTTTAGCTGCCTTGTGCAATACAGATAGCAAAGGGCATAAAAATTGTGATGACGTCAAGATTAGCATCAATTGTTATCACACTCGACATGGAAAGAATCCAAGATGCACAATTGAATATAGATGCTAATATTGTAAGGGAATCGATTTTGCAGGCTCCAAAAATAAAATTGAAGCCAGAGGTAATTAATCTTCCAAGTGATTATGATTTCCTCACCCCTATATGAGTCCAATAGTTAGAGCTTTTATTGTTTTGCAGCACATTAAGGTTTTGGATATCAAAAAGCTTGAAGTTGTACCCCCTGATGCAGATAGAAGTAAAATCAATTTTCAACTTAACTATCTGAAGAATTTGCTTCCATCAGTTGTAGTAAAGGCAAGCTCTTGTGATTTTCTTAATGGTTTTGATACTTGATGAAGATAATACAGTGTTCTGTCTTCCCTTTATTTGTTAAATTTATCTTAGGATGGGAAAGAATATATCCAGCTTTCGTCTCTAAATTGCAGGGAATTAAGACTGCGGAACGTGTTGTTATCAGTAAAGAAGAAGATAAAGTGACAAGGATGGAGAAATTCAAATTGTTGGTAGAAGGGTTAGTCCATAAGATTGTTTTCAATACGGTCATTCTTTTAAGGTTTTTGCTTTCTTCCTCGCATCATAAACATCTGCTTTTTTTTTTTTTTCCTGCCAAAATAATAAACATATTCTTGGAGGCATATTATTTTCTCAAGCTGCGGAGTTTAACGGGAACTTTGTTGATTCATCTTATTGTTTCGTCATGTTTCACTTTTTTCAATAAATACTACCAAACCTTTTCAGTCATAATGCTGGATGTGTGTGTTCTGTTTGACATTGCTGCCTTGCTGGATACATGTGAAAGAACCTCTTTATGTTATAATGACCAATGCAAGAAAGAAAAAGCAAAATTGTGTCACTGTAGTTTATAATATGAAAAATGCTCAGTATATAAGTTGCATTATGTGGTTTATATTGTTGACACACTATATCTTAATTTATGTGTTTTCTTTTTCCAGCACGGGCCTTCAAGAGGTTATGGGCATTGAGGGAGTTGAAGGACGTAAAACGCTTAGTAATCATATCATTGAAGTAGAGCAGACTCTGGGAATTGAAGCAGCCAGAAAGTGTATCATTGAAGAGATAAAGTTTACAATGGGAAGCCATGGAATGAGTATAGATGCACGCCATATGATGCTTTTGGCCGATGTGATGACCTTCAGGGTGAGTAATTTGAAAATATAACGACTTATGACTGCATCTCTGATTTCAAAAGACATATTAGATTTAAACTTGCTAAACGGATTTGTGAAAATAGGGTGAAGTCCTTGGAATAACAAGATTTGGAATCCAAAAGATGGACAAGAGTGTATTAATGCTCGCATCATTCGAGAAGACTGCGGATCACCTTTTCAATGCTTCTGTGCATGGAAGAGATGATCAGATTGAAGGAGTAAGTGAATGCATAATCATGGGCATACCGATTCAAATAGGCACCGGAATGATCAAAGTTAAACAAAGGTGAGTTAATGCATTGCTCGTGAATGAGTTACTTGTGATGCTGGGTTTTTAAGGTGGACCTCTTTTACATGCTTGCATGATTTCATCTGCAAATATAGTCTCTTGGTGGGCAATATAGGACATTTGCCATTTTGAAGTGAGAGTGCTCGCTTAATTTCACCATAACGGGTTACTCATGGGGTGTAATTGTAATGCCCATAAATAACTCCATACCTGAATAGAACCCTATCTCTGCTAAATGGCTTGATAGGGTAGCTTTTTTTTTTTTTTTTGGTGTGGATTTAATGAGATTTTGGCTGCAAAAATTTATTACATGTGCGGTTATTTGACTATTTGTTTTACAGATTGGATCCTCCGGCGCTGTGTCAAGGTCCCGATCCTATTCTGTCTTGAGTTCATAGTTGTATAATTGCTGTGAAGATAAGATCATTCTGTGCAGAGTACTGAAGCATCAGAAATTCACTTTTTGGCGTGCCTGCCTGTTCTTAAGATTACAAACTCTTCCCATGGCTCAACGTTTTTATAGAGATGCAGAAATTTCAAGGCATGAGAACATTTCCAGTCGTGGGGAATGAGGAGAGACTGATACAAGAGAATTAATTGTATATAGGGTTTATATTTTATAATTATACTCCACTTCTATTTTATTCCCCCAAATGCGCCATGTGCGTTCGATTTTGTGCAATTAGGCTGACGCAAAAGGTCTCATATAGCTGATTCTTTGTTAAGAATGATTAGAATTGATGACATGATTATAACAATAATTTATTATAATACTATGAAAAATAAATAAGGAGGAAAGAAATGGGAGGCTTTTCTAATCTTGAAACTAAAAATATGGAGCATTATGTTATGTGTTTATTTATGCTCAGTTTCAAAGTGCTAATGTGATGGAGATGGCTCTCTGCTCGTTTTCTCCAGAATGCGATAGAGATAGCTCCCTGCTCGTTTTCTCCCGAATGTGATGCACATAGTTCTTAGTGTCATGGAAAATTATGGCACTTATTTGCAAATAATAGTCTATCCTGTCCTAAATGTAGGGTAAAATTAACCAACCTTTTAGTTTTGAAAGAGAGTTGATATTTTTAAATTTATTAAAAAAATGTGATTTTCTAATCAGCCTTTCACTGAAAACAATGATGACAATAAAGTGCTGTCTAGAAATTAAAAACATGCCCATAACTGTAATCAAGGAGAAGTAAGATTGGGAAAATTATTGTTCACATTTTTGCCAGGATCAAGCAGGATTTAAAACTTAAGTATGCTTGCTTGTTCTATTGAAAGTGTGAAATTTCCTCACCCTTTTGGCCTTTCAGGATTAAATTTGGTATTCCGCTGTGGTAAGATACAATTTCACTCTTTTCGATCTTTTTATGAGGCATTTACGAGTATTTTATTGGAACTAAAAAGATATTTACATCATTTAACTTCGAAAATTTTTTTACTTCGTCTATATCTAAATTCATGCATTAAAAAAGTAATGAAAATTATTACATTCTCCAACAGACTTCAAGGGTAACATTGGAAAAATATAATAAACATTATATCAAATGACTTGTCAAAAAAAAATCAACTATCATTAATAATTAGAGAAACTCGAATCCTTTTTTTGCTTTTTCTGGTTAGCTATTGCTCCCAATTAAAGCCCGGGGGGGGGGGGGGGAGGGGGGATATTAATGAATTGCTCATAATGCCCATAATTTTGATGATTGTCAAAAAGATTTTACGCGTACCATAAAACTATTTCAAGTGCAGAAATCAGATCAAGCCAGTGAGTTCAAATCTGATTGGGAATTTAGCCTATGATCCAAAATAGCTCTACCAGCAACATCAATGTCAATATATGTAATAGCTAGACGTTGATTTTCTATACTACACGAAGTATGGAGTGTGAAAAATAATTTACAATGACTGGTATAAGTAGTTTCTATATAAAGTTATATCAATATCGATTATTAATATAAATTTATTGAATTACTATTTACAAGTCATATAATTCATTTTAAATTTCATACAACATAGTTTAATATATAAAATTTCATAATATTGTGACCAGCACACTTTTAAGAATTTTTATTTGAAGAGAGCTGATAATGTAGTATAAACATTTTAAAATGTTTTTTAAAAAATAACCACTCATTTTTCTCATTGAAATGAAAAAAAAAAAAAAAAAAAGCATTCTACATTTCTACTCTTCAAGGACTCTACAAGCAAACCCCCCCCCCAAAAAAAAAGCCCAACGGGAACTCTGCTACTATGCTTGTATTTTAATTATTTTGCTCAATGTAAATATAATAGGTTACTTGAAAAGCCAAAGAAAATTAAACATGAGACATATGAAAGTATGTTGAAGTAAAATTTGGGCCTATCGGAAAATTATAAATCATTGATTTAAAACTCGTGAGTTTAATGATGCTGGGGGAGTATCAGCCTTTAACCAAAACCAATCGCATCTGAAAATTTGTACAAGGGCCTTCAAAAGTACTTCTCAACTTGCCCCTACAAAAGTTTGGCAGAAAATAACAAATAACGAATTAACGATGGAGCTTAGAGGTCAATAAGTTAAACAGGGAAGAGGGTCGTCCATGGCGATGTTCATAACAACTAAACAAGAGAGGTCAATGGCAAGCCCCCTCCGTTTTTTGCCCCTTCCGTTTCCTCTATATTTCCCAATTCGTCTACCCTTAAATATATGCCTCCGTCACAGGGCAAAAAAAATACCAAAGCAAATCGATCATAGCCGAAGACAGCAGTCAGCAGGAGTGTGTATAAGAGTCACCAGTTATGTACAAAAATCATTCAATTTGTTTTTATATTCAGTTAAGAGCTTTAACATACCTTTCAGGGAGGGTAATCACAAACAGTTATTTGCAACTGGGAATCATCCTGCTCAGCTGAATACTGTCTGATGAAAGCCCTTCTCCACCAAATCTCAAATGCCTTCTGAATATTAGGACAGTCATCTCCTTTGTTAAGAAAGCGATCAAACCAATTAAGTAACACAGCCTGCTGCTGAAGTAAAGGCAATGTGAGTATAGTTTGGCTTAATCCGTCCTCAACCAGATTCCTGTCAACAGCTCTGGAAGATCTCCTTATCCATCCAAAGTCTTCATAAAGAGCATCTAGCCATGTCGACAACAAGGAAAATCTCGTTTCTTTTGGCACCAGCACTTGTCCCCTTCCAATGGCAATACACAGTTGGGCTGTGATCCTACTGATCTCATGGCGGTATATGGTTGGAATTTTTGAATGAAGCATAGCGAGCTCTTTCTGATCTGCCCATAATTTGACAAAATCATCACCCATTTTTTTACCAATTAAAATCTCAACAATCCACTGAATATTGTCTGCTTCACGAGTAATTTCACTCATCAAAGCTCCCCGATTTTGATTCTCGTCCATGCTAGTAGCTTCAGATAAGCACAGAACAAGAGAACTAAGGCATCTATGGCAAAGATGATAAAGCGTGTCTTTAGATACATCTAGTCTGCTGCTATCGTCCGATGCTTCTTTAAGCAAACGAGATATGAGGGTTTTCATTTCCCTACGAGCTTTGTCATCTTTTGCCTGCAGAACACCACTCAGCAGGCTCACAAATATGTCATCGGTTCTTACAGAAGTAGATGGGTCAGATAATACTCTGAGGAGAACTTCGGTTCCAGGGTCATGAAGCTGAAGATGATCTATCTGAGATATGACTTCTGCCTCTTCATCTTCGGACCAAGGAACAGCTTCTAAATACTCCAGGCATGACATAACACCGAGGTCAAACATGATAGCTGCTGATACCTACAACAAAAGCTAAGCCAATATTAGAAAATAAGTAGGTCACAAGCCTAGACATCAAAAAAAAAACAAAAAATTTAACCAAAAAAAAAAACAATAGAAAGAAGAGGTGAAAAATAACGTTCACTAAACGAACAAGTCACTCTCAGGGTTGCCTATTCGCAAAATGTTGATGAAATTCAAAAGATGAGGATGGCAATCACAAGGCAGACTGACCCACTGAATAGGGTAGAAATTTAAGGGAAGAGAAGATCGGGTGCTTTACATCAAGTGTGACTCTCTCGGAAAGTATTAAGTTGTGATGTGACCATGAATGTGTGTGCGCGCGTGGGTGCGCTTCTTTTGGGATGGTAAATGGCATTTTAATTTCCTAGATTAGCATGCTTGGAAAATTTATTCTGCAGTGAGAGCAGTTCATCATGATGAGAAGCGCCATCAATTCGCGGAATATCAATGATCAGAAATCCAACGGAATGTTCCTAGGTATATCAGTTGTCATATCCTTGAGTAATTAAGCTGTTATCCATTAACCTAAGCTATTAATCAAGACTAACTAATCATTTGTCCATTATTCAACTGAAAATGACAATGGCACATGCTTTAAAGTCAATTTAATGATTCCAAAAGGGAACCAATTTTTCGAAGCATTTGTGCTATGCAAATAAAGATGGATAGACCAAAGGAAGCAGATGAAGCATTTACCTTGAGCAAACTCAAAACCTTAGAAACCCCTTCACCCATCAACCTCCTCTTCAAATCCTCAAAGTACATTAATACCACAGTTTCAACATACACCTCCACATCATCACAGTCGCTGATTTCCACCGAGTGCGAGACTCCACGATCACACCGAAGCTTCTCGGCGAAGAATCTGCTCTTCTCTGTAAGCACGCTCTTGTGAACGTCCATGGAAGCTTTAAACCCGTCTCTCGCAACAACCGTAAGCCTCACATCACCAGGTCCTCCCCAATTAGGGTCTCGAAACGGCGCTTCATCCAGAAGCTTCGACACCCGATCTTGCAGCTTTCGACGCTTATCGTCGGGCAGCTTCGATTCACGATTTTGCTCTTCTGACATCATTTCGTAGAGGGTTTGGCTCTGACCAGAACGAGTCTGAATCTGAGTCAGGGTTTGGGATTGAGGCGATGCAGAGAAAGGGGGTGGAGGTGAAGAGAAGGTCTTGGAGGGTGAGGACGAAGGGGAATACGCCATAGAGATAGCCCGGGAGGGCGAAAAAGAGAGAGTTGGATCTGGTATGAAACCCTGCTTTATCATGGCTGAGACTTCTCTGGATTTAAGTGCATTTTCGCCCGCCATTGAAGCCCTGCGTGCCTTCACAGAGCTGTGAAGTACAAATGCAAGAACTTTGCGCGGAGATTTCTTGAGCACCAAGAAGAGAGAGAGAGAGAATGGACGAAAAATTCAAGTGGAATTAAGATTTTCCAAGAAAACACAGGGGAATCAGATTAGGAGAGGAAGCAGAGAGACGGGGACAAGAGAATCCAAGAATCTAGCGTGAGCGAGTGCGGGAGGGGGAGCAGTTTTTCTTCCGTTCCCCTCATCTATCTCCTTTACCACTGGCGGATTAAATTTTAATAGTTCAGTTTATAAATTTATTATTATAATAATTGTACTTTCAAATTAAATTTATTTATATACTACTATTTTTTACCTAAATTTATAGCATCTTTTAGCCAATAATAATAATAATAATGTCTTTATAAAGTATTAAATCTCGACTATTAAAATTGAGGAGTCCCGCAGGAGGGGAAGTGAGGATAGAGGATAGGGAATGGATCTACACTCGACAGTGAATTAAAACACATGAATTGTTGGCAAAAAAAAGAGAGAAAAATGCTACTATTTTTTAACTTAATTATAAAAGCTAGTTTAAATATAAAAACTTAATTTATTTTATTTTTTATATTATTTATTTATTTATTAAAATGATTTTTGTGGTAGTTGTACATGTTAAAGGTTTCATATGTATATATAATTAATAAAAATATTCTAAATAAGATAATACTTAATTATTATAAATAATCAATTTAACAAACCTACAAAAAATTCAGTGGCAGTGTAAATATAATTTGACCAAGAACTGGTAACAGGATATAATAATGACAAAGAGCGCAGCGCTTTTAACAAAAGAAATGGCCCGTCAAATTATTGCATGTCCGTACAAAATATGGCCAGAGCAATTTAATTTAATAAACATATAGGAAAAATGACAGAAAATGGAATCAGTAATTTTTGTAAAAATATGTTACTCTTTGATTCTAAATATAATATTTATTTTGTAGTCTTTGATTCTAAATATAAGACTCATTTTATAATATAATTATAAAAGTATAATTTATATTATAAAATGAGTTTTATAATTATACTATAAAAAAGTCTTATATTTAGAATTAAAAAAGTATTATTTCTAAATTAAAAGTAATGAAAGCTTGCTTATGAGAAAACAATCATAATTTCAAGTTGAAGTAATTTTCATATTCTTTTTCTGTCATTTTTCGGAGTTTTTAACTAACAAAAAAGCATGTTAAGTTGAATAAATTAAGTTAAATGTAACCATGCAAGTACACAAACTCTAATTCCAAATAAGGAGTATAGATTGAGATTGTAATTAAAAAAATACTTAATATAAGAGATAGTTAGATGTTATTGTACAAATTACATATATGTAGGATTAGAAAATATTATCCTTATGATATTTCTCAATCTCACTTTTACAGGTTCATCTAATATCATATAACAAATAATCATTTATCTAAATTTTTTTAATGATTTTCTTAATTATAATTTCAGTCTCTATTTATCATTTTCAATTACTCGTTACCTTTGGGCTTTCTCCCGGGGTGCGGGTCATGATCTAAATTGATACCAATCTGCGCCTTTTGAGGTCACTGTTTATGGTCGCGACCCCCGAGGGCAAAGGCAAGTTGAAGGGGCACAAGCTTTGTTCAAAAGATCTTGGTGATGTTAATTATAGTAATTACAACTAAAACTTTCGGGTCAATTCATATTGCTTGATGTCCTGACTTCCCATTGGTAAGGACGTTATGGAATTTAGAGAATCGAAACTTAATCAATGGTTTGGTTGATTTTTGTTATGGAAATGGAACTCTGGAACTTAACAGTAGTCAGGGACCAGTATTATGATGGGAAAGCAGAACAGGTGGATCCGTGTTATTAACTCCTCTCCTTCAGTGAGAAAATTTTCTAAGAAGACGTAATTTCACTTTTTATTTATTACTCCCTCCGTTCTTTATTATAAGAGACGAATAACCGAATTACGTTGATAAAAAAAACAGTTAAAATTAGTTAAGAACAATCAATGTGTAAAAAATATAATCTTTTTTTCAAAAATACCCTCATTAATAAGGAGAGAGAGCATGAGAGAGAATAATTAAATTATTAAAAGAAAGAGAAGTGGGAGGGAGAGAGAGTGTGAGTTGGAAACAATAAATATGGGTAAAATAGGAAATCAACACAAAAAAGTAGAGACAACTTTTAAGTGTCTCTTATATATAGAAACATGCCATAAGCATCAAATGTCTCTTATAATAAGGAACGGGGGGAGTATTATGTTTTTTTTATATTATTTTTTATTTTTTATTTTTAATATAAGATCTCGTTTAATTTTTATTTTGATCTTAAATATAAGATTTAAAGTTATTTTGTTTCTCATATTTATTTATTTTTCATAAGATAATCCTTATAATAATAATAGTCCTAGCGAATAAATTTAATTAGTAAGGATATTTAAGAAAAATAATACCTATTTATCACAAATAACTAACTTAACTTTTTTTTCTTAATCTACCTAAATTAGTCAACTAGTTCTTATATTTAGATCAGGAAGTATTAGTATATTGTATATTAAATATGAATAAAATTAAAAATTTGCTAAATTTTAAATGAAAATTGATAAAATTTAAAATTTTTATTAATTTATATAAAAACACGTTAAAAATAATTTATAAATAGAATAAGAAGAAATATCAACTTGAAGTACATCAAGGGGGTTTATGGGAAAGGGGATTTCAACATTTACATCACTTGACGCTTCAAATCCCATAAACCCCCGCCGGAACATATCAGTTTTTTTTTTTTCTTTTGCCAGCAGAACATATCCGTCTTTTTTTTAATTGGAATGTGTGACTTTTTGTTTACTTTATTACTACCTCCGATGCTAATTATAAGAGTCAGTTGACTAATTTGAGGAGATTAAGAAAGTAAGTTGAGTTAGTTATTTGTCTTAAATAGGTGTTGTTTACTAATCAAGTGTATTGACCAGAACTATCATTGTTAGAAGGGTTACTTTGAAAAAAAACATATAAATATGAGAAATAAAGTGAATTAGAGTTTTATATTTGAGATCAAAATAAAAATTAAATAAGATCTTATATTAAGGATCGGATGTAGTATTTCATTTTAAAAGTAGTATTCTTTGCATGATCTGTATGAGTTATTATTACTTTTTTCCATACTCTTCTTTTGTCGCTTCTTTTTTCATAATCAAAGCTTTCGGCGAAAGCTTCTTGAAGTGATCTTCGAGCTAGTTTAAAATCTACAATTTCTTTTTTATCTAAACAAAATAGCAGAAGAATAATTTTCCTGATAGGATTTTTTTTTTTTTTTTGCCATTTCTTGATAAGGTATATAGTGAGAGAGAGATTTCCAGCCGCGGATCATGACCCAGCTAAAGACGAGATCCACCACAGTCCCAATAAAACCTGTTAACGGATTCGTGGCCCCATCAATGTCCTGATTAACTCAACTCTGTCTAATCGCACCAGGGAAATTTGTAATTTTCATCTTCCCTTCCAGATCAGCGCTAATTATTGCGATGAACATTAAAACTGGTTCTTTCGTTTCAATGGAACCAGTTTGGATGCTCATCAATATAAGGAGCACTTTAAATCTAAACTCATCAGAGTTTAATCATGTAGACCTCATCTGTCTGGTCCAGATTTAAAATTTTAATTAAATGTTTTTAAATAAAAATTATTTCTTGAAAAAATAATAGTGAAAAAAATTTTATATTATATACCCATGAAAATAATTATTTTAAACAAAAATAATAATAATAAAATCTGAACATTTCAAATAAAGATACGAGCGACTTGATAAAACTGGGTGCTTGTCAAACTAACGAGTAGTTAAACTGGTTCCCATTTTAATAGCATTTAACTTCGCTTCCGTCTACAACAAACCTCACTTGAAGAATTGATCAAATACAAAGCCAGAAATTCAAACTCTCTCCCTGATCCGAACAATTCTCATTACAAGCTCCTCTCAGAGCAAACACATGTGTCTAGTGTTAGGGGCAGAAATTACTAAGCTACAACCTCAAGAAACCAGAATAAAGAACTGAAGAATCAACGTATTCCGCACAGCAACACATCATGCAGCATAACCATGGTGGCTCTGCCTCTAAAAGTGTCATCACATGGCTCGTAGTTATCATCATCATGCTCTATTTTCTTCACTCTTCCGACCTCTTCGTCTCCCCCTACGACACGCCTGATTGTCCGAACAACTTAGACCTCGCTACCTCCCAGAACCATCTTCACATCTCAAACACCACAATCCAAAATGAAGAAAAAACAGAGGATGAAGAACCAGAAGACTTAGAAACAGAGCAAATCGTAGCGCAGTTACCCCCCGAAACACCTCGTATTCCTCCCACCGAGCTTAAACACATCGTTTTCGGCATAGCAGCTTCCTCCAATCTGTGGAATAACAGAAAAGAATACATCAAGACGTGGTGGAGGCCAGGCCAAACCAGAGGAGTCGTATGGCTGGATAAGCGCATCAGAGTACGAAGGAACGAAGCGTTGCCGCAGATTCGAATCTCTGCAGAAACGTCCAGATTCAAATACAGGAACCGTCAGGTGATCATTCATTTATTTAATCTTTCGATCGAGTACATCACGAGCGTAGTACTCTCACAATTATCCAATGTGGGCGCCCATGTATACATTGACCGATATTGATATACACATGAAATAAAACCTCGTCAGGGAGACAGATCGGCGCTGAGGATATCGAGGGTGGTATCGGAGACACTGAAGCTGGGGATGAAGGATGTGAGGTGGTTCGTGATGGGAGACGACGACACGATTTTTGTGGTGGACAACGTAGTGAGAATATTGTCCAAGTACGACCACAGGCAGTATTACTATGTAGGAAGCTCGTCGGAGAGTCATGTTCAGAACATACATTTCTCGTATGCGATGGCATATGGAGGGGGTGGCTTTGCTATCAGCTATCCATTGGCCAAAGAGCTGTCCATGATGCAGGACCGTTGCATTCAGAGATACCCTAATTTGTATGGCAGTGATGATAGAATTCAAGCCTGCATGGCTGAGCTCGGGGTCCCACTCACCAAGGAAGCTGGGTTCCACCAGGTCTATATATCTAATTGACTGTTGCTTTGAAACCCCAATTAAGAAGTTAAAAGACTCTGATTTGTGGGATTAATTCATCCTTACATAGACAAGAAATATGACAAATTATTGACGCGGTGTTTGTGATGCAGTATGATGTATATGGAGACCTATTAGGGCTACTGGGGTCACATCCAGTGGCGCCACTAGTGACACTGCACCACCTGGACGTGGTGGAGCCGATATTCCCACGAATGAGTCGGGCGAGAGCCATACAGCGCCTGATGGAATCGGTGAAGCACGACTCAGCCAGCGTGATGCAGCAATCAATCTGCTACGATAAGAACAAGTACTGGTCCATCTCAGTGTCGTGGGGTTACGTGGTTCAAGTATGGAGGGGCATATTATCCCCGAGAGAACTAGAAATGCCCTCAAGAACCTTTCTTAATTGGTACAGAAGAGCTGATTACACTGCTTATACCTTCAACACAAGGCCCGTCTTCAGACACCCTTGTCAAAAGCCCTTCGTCTTCTACATGAGCAAGACCCGATATGACTCCGCAAGGAGGCAGATCATTGGCACTTACTTTCGTCATAACTCCAAGCCTTCTTTCTGTCGCTGGAAAATGGACTCACCCCAGAAAGTCGATACCATCGTCGTTCTCAAAAGACCAGATCCTCTTCGATGGCAGAAGGTAGGATATTGTCATAAACACCAACTTATAATTAACTCATGCATTCTATATACACATAACGTACGTACGTCTCAACGTCAGATGCAAAAACTTACCTGAACATGTTTGAATTAATTGGTTTGCAGTCACCGAGGAGGGATTGTTGCAGGGTTATGCCGTCGCGTACAGGCTCAACCATGTACCTTTGGGTGGGCAATTGTCGAGATGGCGAGATTAGTGAGTTGTAGCGCCGACGAAAGGAAAAAGTGATTAAATGGACTACGTTGTTTCTAAATTATATTACAAAAAGTGATGACCTGTCGAGGTAAACGCAAAGATAGATGTTCTCTGCGTTCTACAAAAGGGCAAAAGATTGGAACCTAACCTTATTGTATATGCCTAAACCTAACAAAGCCTATAAGCAGCAGTTGTCTGAAAATGGCGGGACGACCATTACTGTTCTTGATCAACCGAGCACAAAAAGATGTCATATATTTGCTATAAAAGCATTTCTATCTGCGTTTACTAGTTCATATGTTTAGTGCAATCCAGCGTCTTCCATTAATTCTAGCTGATGGACATAATTGTTCAATCAGGTTTATCGGGTATTTAACTACAGGATATAAGCAAAATTTCACTGTCTCTATATCTCAAACTTTTGAGGAATTAGAATGCTTATGTTAGATGGATGTATCTTAAACCACTGACTTACATGTTATGCAAGTACATGCCTCCTAAATATTGGCTCCTGGGACCCCGCAAACATGAGACCTACGTGAGATTTACGACGTTGCAAATTATGGTTGCCTTGTAAAATGAATGTTTTAAAGAAATTAATACAAACAAAACATTAACCCAGAAAAATCATTGTTCATCAAATTCTACCACTTTATTATTCATAATCCACTAATTAATTTTCTAAACAAACTATATATTGATTAATTCGTCATTGGTTTTTGCAGCTCTACCGTATTTTTATGGGAAGAAAGTTATCAATTAATTGATAAAAGAATACAACATCTTTTATCAGTTTATTTCTTAGATCTTTATATATATATATATATATATATATATCTCAATACACCTATCGCTGTAGAGAATTATGATCTTAAAATTATTTCAAAAGGAAAAATTGCTAAGTTTATGAGGAAAAAAGAAAGAAAATTTTGAAAATACTGATGATTGTAGTTAACAATTAAATAAATTATCAAAAGAACAAGTAAAGAAGCGTGAAAAATGTTCATAGAAGATCCGATGCAAACAATCGATATGGACAATAATTGCGCTCGATTTTTTAAAATTATCTAAATTATATTCATATTATTAATACACCGAAGTGCTTGCTCCTGGGCATTAGAGGCCCCAGCCCGCATGCGTGAGTCATTGCTCCTTAGGCACCTGTTATTAATATTTCATTATGCTACCTCTAGTGTTAAATATAAAATTCAATTTGTAACTTAAATTAAACTACTACGTCCGATCCTTAATATAAGAGTTTGTTTGATTTTTATTTTGATTTTAAATATAGAATTTCAATCTATTTTGTCTTTCATATTTATCTATTTTTTTCAAAATAGTTCTTATAGTTTGCATATGTTAAAAGTTTCATCAAATGATAATTCTAGTTAATACACATAATTAGTAAGGATATTTTAGAAAAAATAGTATTTGTTTATTACAAATAACTAACTTAACTAATTTTCTTACTTAACTAATTTTTTTAAATTAATCAATTAGATTTTATATTAAGATCAGAGATAGTATAAATTAAATCGTATATTAGCACAGGAATTAATACGTAAGACTTGATGTGTGGTCAAACACAGAAACAATCCGTACCTGTTACTCTCGAGTCCAACTCCTTAAGCGAAGGAACAGATCAAAATGGAGGAAGAAAACAAGTTCAAACAAAGAGAGATTTTTCAAAGGCTAAGATCCAACACAGCACCTGTTATCTTCTAGGGACCAAAATAGATAACGAGGCACATAACTACATATAGACACAATAATCCGAGGAGGGGAAAACACTTAATAATTTTCTTCGTTCCCAGATATGTCAGACTCATAATTATTTCCTTCATTCTCAGATCTATCTGTCTCAGAGTTGTTTTGTTGGGTGCCAGCAGATCTGTCTGAGTCAAAATTAATTTCTTCGTTCCCAGATCTGTCAGACTCAGAGAAATTAGCATCAAGAAGAGCATGATCATGAGGATTTGTGAGCGGAGGAAGGCTCTTCTTGGATCTGGGCTTGTGTGAAATTTGATGGCGTGGATCGTATCTCTGGGAAGCGAGGAAGTTGAGAGCGGTGACAACATCAGCAATAACAGGTCTCATATGAGGCTTCTCTTGCACACACATGGCTGCAATTGCCAGAGCTTGGTACAATCCTCTCACTGGATATTGACCATCAAGCGATGGATCCACCATTTCTGAGAATCTTTTCCTGTCTTTGAACATTGGCCTTGCCTGCAAATAGTTTGCCTTCAAAACTTTAGCTTCTTTCTATTTCTGTTCTACTTATTTCAATTTCAATAATTTTCCACCAGTCATTTTCATTTATGACATACGCACGCAAACGCATATATATATATATATATATATATAGTGAACGAATATTTATTTTAAAAAAAAGTTTCAGTTTGCTTGCTAGCTATAACTATATATGACAGCTGGATGACGCATTCACAAACAACTCCATCCGCTTGCAGCTACCTCCCCCCCCCCTCCTGGTCCAACATACGCTTAGCAAGGACAATACGACAACAAAATGAGAATTAACAAAAAGAACACAGGATTGTGCCAAGAAAGCTAGGTGAGGAAAAGAAGATATGATGACGTACCCAAGAGACTAGGTTCTGTTGCTTGGCAGGTCTTGAGTTGTCAAAAGCTTTTTGCCCGGTGATAAGCTCCAAAAGAACAACACCGAAGCTGTAAATGTCGGACTTAAAAGTTAATTGACCAGTCATGGCATATTCTGGAGCACAATAGCCATATGTGCCCATAACCCTAGTTAAAACATGAGTGTCTTCTCCACTAGGGCCTACTTTTGCCAACCCAAAATCAGACAACTTGGGATGATATCCCTCTCCTAGCAATATGTTGGAACATTTCAGGTCCCTGTATATCACTGGAGGCTTCATTTTATCATGCAAATATTCCAAACCCCTTGCTGTCCCTGCTACTATTTTCATTCTCGTGTTCCAATCTAGTGCTTTTCTACCTGCAGGAAGATCTGCAAGAATTCATAAACAAGAAGAAAATCTTCGTCAACTTCAATTTTTAACAAATTAATTGTGGGGTATTTGAAAAGAAAAAAAAAAGAGAGTAGTATATATGTCTGTAGCTGCACCATAGAGATGATTCTCCAGGGATCCCAGAGGCATGTACTCGTAGACCAACAACCTTTGTTGTCCCGTGGCACAGAACCCTAAGAGTTTGACCAGATTAGGGTGGTCTGCCATACTCAGTGTCAATACTTCCACTACAAATTCCCTCTTCCCTTGATGTCCATCCGGGTCCAGTTGCTTTATGGCCGCCACCTACACCACCCCCATATTAATTATATATTTTGAAAAAAACAAAGGTTTACGCATGAAAGAGAATTTTATATGTAAGAACATGTGTGTGTTAATCTGCTTTTGCCTAATCAAGTATATGAACGAACCTGCTTCGTTTTCTTCAAGCATCCCTTGTAAACTTTCCCAAAACCTCCTTCCCCCACCAAGCAATCTGATCTGAAACGACCTGTCGCCTCTGCGAGCTCATCAAACGAGAACGATTTTGCACGATTCAGATTATCAACTTTTCCGTCCTTTGGAATTTTGTCTTCTAAATTTAAGGCCTTTATGTCCGGAGAAAAACCATCAGGCTTGGAAGAAATAATAACTTCCTTCTTCACATTCACGTTCGAGTCCGCTCGAACCTTATCTGTAATACGTACACGATCCACGTGAAGGACAGATTAGATCAGAGAAAACGACGTGACACTGACATTGATTTCTTAATATTACGGAAAATAGACCATCGACTCAGCGATGATGTATTGCCGGTTGAAGGCTTGAAGCCTTCGAAAGCCTCCAAAAACTACTCAAAATCTCTCCCTATACGGTTTCTGAGAGGTGATATGAATTCTAGAGACTCTTAGAATGGAAGATACATGTATAGAATAAAAACAAAGCCAAATTTACAATCATCTGTTTTATTTATCTTTTTTTTTCTCCCAAAAAGACGCGTGGAAAAAACGGTCTTGCAGAACGAAACAAAGGAAAACACGAGTGAACTTTGATCAGCTCAGGACATAACCAAATCCAGAATTTTTACGGAAAAAAAGATCCATACTAATTCCCTCAAGGAATTTTTTATCATTATTTGAAGATTCGAATAGCCTTGGAAATGTTGAATCCAACGATGGATCGTTTGAATCTGAATGAAATCTTGGAGATAGAACGGACAGGGATCGTCACCAAAATGGGGCATTAATAAAAATAAAACGTTCAAAAGAGAGGAAATAAATCTTAAAACAATACGTTGGGTGCAACATCGACAAACCAAAAGCATATAATGATATGTTTCTGAGGGTGAGCATGAACTCGGAAAAAGGAGAACAGAAATGATGTGGAAAATTCACCTGAAATAGGGCGGTGGCGGTTGGACGTCTTATCGCAGCGGACGAGGCTTTTGGAATTGCCGTGAGGGGAGGGTTTGTTGGTTGGCTCGCGAGTGCAGAGAAAACAACCCATATGTTTCAGAGTGAATCCGAGAGGGAAGAGGCAGAATCAGAGTCTCAGAAAACGATAAACACTGCAAAAAGGGAGAGACGGAGAGAGAGAAGGAGAAGCAGAGAGAGAGAGAGAGAGATTCAGAGCCTGGGAAGGGCCCTTAGGCTGCTTCTCAAGTTGTGGAAGGGCGTGGTGGTGCATCTAATAATATGGAGCGCCATAACAGCTCTAACAAAATTGTTATATACAAGCCACGAATGAATCAGATCAGGTGACGCGCGCCAAGAAAACGACAATTACAGAATTCTCTGTCATTTCTAACGATATCATGATCTCACATCGTTGGTTCCTTCTTGTTACCTTGCTCCTTGGTAATTTCTGTATTCCGCTTCAATTGCTCATCAATACTAGTGCGGTAATTTTTTTCCCATTAAATGATGAGAAATTACTATATTATTGTTATATATTAGCTTTATACAAACACAGTGTTAAATATAAACTTATTTTATAATATAAAGTTGATTTTATAC